GTCTTCGGGGTTTATAGGGGCGCCCCGCCTTCCCCTCCCCCGAGGCGCTCGGTGTCACAGGGGTGCTAAGACCCAGCACGACCACACCCCAGCACGACCACACCCCAGCACGACCCCACCCCAGCACGACCACACCCCAGCACGACCACACCCCAGCACGACAAGCACGACCACACCCCAACACTACCCCACCCCAGCACGACCCCACCCCAGCACGACCACACCCCAGCACGACCACACCCCAGCACGACCCCACCCCAGCACGGCCCCACCCCAGCAAGACCACACCCCAGCACGACCACACCCCAGCACGACCTCACCACAGCACGACCTCACCAGAGCACGATCACGCCCCAGCGCGACCACGCCCCAGCACGACCACTCCCCAGCACGACCACCTCCCAGCACGACCACGACGACGACGACGACGACGACGACGACGACGACGACGACGACGACGACTACGAGGGGGATCCGCCCAGGGGGCGGCGACAGGCAACCACTCAACCGATGCAGCCACGGACTCCCTGTGTGTTTGATGAGTGGCGCCCGTACCGTTGCGTGCGTTACGCGTCTCCTCGTGGTTGTCCTGGTTGAGTGGTTGCCTGTCGTTGCTCGCGGTGCTAGATCACAGGGTGCGGACCACCCCAGCACGACCTCACCACAGCACGACCACACCCCAGCACGACCACGCCCCAGCACGACCACGCCCCAGCACGACCACGCCCCAGCACGACCACCCCCCAGCACGACCACCCCCCCAGCACGACCACACCCCAGCAAGACCACACCCCAGCACGACCACACCCAGTCGCACCCCCGTGGAATGTTTCGTGGGGTGTCTCGTGGAATGTTTCGTGGGGTGTCTCGTGGAATGTTTCGTGGGGTGTCTCGTGGAATGTTTCGCGGGGTGTCTCGTGGAACGTTTCGCGAGGTGTCTCGTGGAATGTTTCGCGAGGTGTCTCGTGGGATGTTTCGCGGGGTGTCTCGTGGGATGTTTTGTGAGGTGTCGCCCAGTTGGGTATCGTGAAAACGTGACCATGCTGCGCATGTCTATATCCCTTTCCGGGTTCGTGGGTCCATCATGTTTCAATGCGTTTCGGGCGTATTGAAAAAACAATACGCAGGATGTTTGGGGACGTGGGGTTACCAGTTGGCGGACCTCGGAACTCCCCGCACCAAGCTTGACAAGGTCATACGTCATACGAGTACCCCGGCCACTTACGCCCACCACCACGAGATTGCTGGCAAGCACGGCTGTCCGAAGACGTGGGCGGGGATGGAGACGCACGAATTCACTTCGGAAGCCCCCCTACGCGTACTGGAAGACGTTGTGCAGCCAGCTGACGTGAACCAGTTGCACGACGAGAGTGCTCCATCTGCCTGCTTCAAACTCTCCTGGCAGGGTCAGAGATTGGGCTGGGACGCCCGCGGACCATGGAGGACTTGCAGTACATAGGCGGAGGACAGGCCATCTCCAACCACCGCCTCGACGAAGACATCCCCACCTCACCCGCCCCAGGTACAACGCTGGTTCCCCCCGTCGTGCACGATGGGCGTTTCAGCAGGCTACAGAAGGAGGCCACTTACAACTGCGACGGGTGCCACAGCGTGGGACTCTACAGTTCTGCAGGCACCTGGGAAGACGATCACACCCGGGAGCTACTCGAAAACTGCACATGGCTCTGCGAACGCTGTTGGGTCGCCCCATTGGAGAAGAAAGGCGCCCCCCTCCCCGAGCCCGACCCCTCGGAGCGCATCAGCAAGAAGTCCATGCAGCGGCTACTGCAGGAGCATAAGCGCAGGCTACAGGACAACCGGGAGCAGAAGAGGGCGAAGACCCTCCCACCCCTGGACAGGCTACCCCTTGGGCTGCAGGAGCCAAAGGACACAGCAGCCACGGTCTCCCTCAAGGGGCTCCTACTTCGTACGCCGCGCCACTACCGCCCCACCGGCGTAGGCACTACGCTTCCACCGCAAAGGCTATCGGACGGCAGGTTCGGTGCAGAGGCGCACCGTAGCAAATGCTATTCGGCCAAGTGCGACTTTTGCCCCCAAGACTCCCCATGTCTCGAATGGCCTGCAGGCGCACCCGCCCTGGGGTGCTTCATTTGGCGCCCTGGAGAAGGCGCCGAGTGCAGTGACCGCACAGGCCTCCCAGAGTGGGAAGCAATGCCATCGTTGTGGATCAAAAGACAGTGGAACGCCAGCTGGCCCTGCAGGAGATGCCCGGCGCACATCTGGGACATCGCACCCAGCACACTCAACAAAGTGCTGGACTCATGCTCGAACGAGATATATCCCCCTAGCCCCGTCATGGCGGCGACTAGTGAAGGCACTGAGGACTGGGGCATCTACCCTGTCAGCCCAGCTACAAACGAGGGCTCCACCGCGGGCACCCCCCCCGGGCACGGATCGCGGTCAGTGAGGATCCCCAATGATGCTACATTCTGGTGCGCCCTGCCTGCGCCCCCACCACCCAACGCACCCCAGCTACCCACGTGCACGACCCTCCGCCTGGAGGGGGGGCAGTCGTGCAGCCCAGTCCGCAAACTTGCGAAGTTTCTGTTGGAATGGAACCGCGAGGTCTACATCCGATGGTCGACCTTCGGGGGGGGAAGGAGCGGAAACAAAGTGGGTGAAGACAGCGATGAATTGGAATGGTCACGCAACTAATTGTTGCGCTTCCTGGACTCCATCTACGGGGACCAGATCCCAAAGAATGGACATCCCCCACTCATCCCGCGGGGCGGGCAGAGAGCTGCCACAGCCAATGCCATCGCGCAGCTGGCTGGGAGGAATGAGAAGTTCCAGAAGGCATGGCGCTCCTTCTCCGACGCGCTCAGTAGCCAAAGAGGACAAGACCCCTGGCGGCAGCCGTTGGACACGCTGCACCGCTTCTTATCCCAGAGGAAGGACGACCTCGCAGGGGGAACGCTGGAGTTCCTCGCCGGCGAACGCAACGCTGGGGGCAGCAGCGGCACGGGAGACCACTCCCCCGCCGCCGTCTGGCGCAAGCGCCCACCAGCCTCGGACGGCCGCGCCCCCGGCGACGGCCTCCGCCAGCAGCCCCCGGGAGCCGCGAAGGCGGGCAAGGAGATTCAGGAGGGGCCATCCCCGGACAGGGACGCCCACGGCAATGGCGACAACCCATTCGAGGTAGACTGGGATGAGGACAATCCACCAGACAGGACCGTCTCCATGGTCGGCAGTCCCCCGCAGCAGGCCGAGGAAATCGACGCCCACGGCGACAGTGCTGTGGACAGACACCCCTTCGAAGGAGGAAACGGCCACCTGGGCGCCGCGCGCGACGGCCCGCCCCCGGGCGGACATGGAAAAAGTCCGCGCAACAGGGGCCTAAGAGGGACAGGGAGCAAGCCAGACTGCCGTCAGGAGTCTATCCCTGAGCTCGCCGCGTCTGCGCGCGAGACCCGTCCGGCGCCCTGCCCCGGGCAGGACAGCAGCCCTGATAGACGGCATCGCCCACAGGCAGATCCACTCCCACCCCCGCATCAAAACGACCCCTTGGGAGGGCTTCCCATGCACATGAGGTCCATCGACGAGGCCGACGTCCAGAGAGACGAGCCAGCCCAAGAGAAGGTCATCAGACTGCAGCAGACGCTCGGAGGCGCATTCGACGGGGCGTGGACGGCTTGGGCCCGAAGGGCAGGCAGCCTGCAAGGTCTGCCTCGGGTCCGCATCCATTCGGACCCCAAGAGGAACACACTTCATGTTTGCGAAGAATTTCTGCAGGCGTGGGAAGCAGCGGGCTACGACGCCTACAAGATGGTTAAGGGACCACCAGCTCCGAGTGGAATGGCATAAGGTCACTGAGAAGTATCGTAGCCTACTACAGAGCAGCGCAAAGACCAGCACACCCAAGGGGCAAGATAGCGAAGGCCGCCCATACCCTTGGGCCGCCAGCAGCAGGACAGCACCCACCCCTCCGGCCCCGCCCGACAGGACAAGCTACTGCGAGCAGGCCCCGTCCTCTAGCACACGCATCGGGGCTGAGCAGCAACGCCCGTGGGGCAAGCCCAGAGCTGACAAAGCTGCCCCGCCAGCGTACGCCGACTACAGGGAGACCGCCTGGTCGGGGGCATCCAGCTCTGGAGCCCCGCGGCGCCCAAGGAAGGGCGGGGCCGCCAGGGGAGTTCATGGAGAAGCGCTGAGTGGGGGAGCAGGGAAAAGATGACCGCCCCGAAAAGTGACGAGCAATGCGCCGACGAGCGACAGTGAGGAAGGGAACTCGCACGCTGGTAGCCCGGCAACTGGCCTGACAGGGGCCCCCTGCCCATCGCAGGGCCGACGCAGCCCAGAGCCCCCAAGGCGCGCGGCCTAGGGCTCCCTTGGACAGCGGGTGCCCCCCTGCATGGAAGGCTAGCCGCGCCCGTATACCGCGGGGGCTCCCCGGAGGCGTGGCTTGTCCACCCCCTGGAGCGTTCCCACTTCGGACTATCGTTCTGCGGCTATCGGCCGCTCTCCCCTTCTTCTTCTGTCGCTTACAAGTCCTGCGGCTATCGGCTGCATTTCCCCTTGCCTTGTCGCTGCATCCACTCACACGGCCAGCGGCGATCGGCTGCTTCCCCCCTTCCTCGTCGCCACCGCCTCTACACGCAAGTTCAGCGGCTATCGGCTGCTAACCCCCTTTTCCTCGTCGCCACAGCACAGAGCCCGAGAGGCGCGGCATCGCAGGTCCCACCGCACACCGACAAGGCCAGTCGCGGCTGACCCCATGGCCGATGGGTTCCCACTGAGCGGCCACACCTGTCGGCACAGCCAGTGGCAGGGTTTGTTTCACCGCAGCGGCGGGCCGCGGTTTCAGTCTGGCGCTACCTCCTGGGGTAGGGGCGCACCCCCCCACCACCGCGATAGACACCCGCGCGCCTCGTGGGCCCACAGCCCGCGCGGTCGGCTGAAATAGTCCCACCGACGGTTTTGGCCGCTTTGTCGGCCCATGGAGTGCCGGGTCGACTCGCTGAAGGCGTTTCCCCACCGCT